TGTTGTGTTTCTGGGTCTCTATTAAGAAAATTTCGGCCTGTGCCAAGGACACCTAGGGTTTCTCCTATTCCATCCTGTAATGTTTTCAGAGTGTCTGCTTTGACTCTAAGGTCTTTGATCCATTTGGAGTTGATTCTGGTACAGGGTGATATATAAGGATCTAGCTTTAGTTTTCTACAAGTAGTTAACCAATTTTGCCAGCACCATTTACTGAAGAGGCTGTCTTTCTTTCATTCTATTTTTTTAGCTCCCAGTGAGACTCTTATCTCCAATTAACTCCCTAAAAGCTGGAAGTGGAGCTGTGGCTTAAGTGATAGAGATCCAGCCTTGAGCAAAAACACCAAATGAAAGTGTTCAGGGCCTGAGTTCAAGCTCTAGTACCTGCACAAGAAAGGAAGAAGGGAAGAGAAAAAATGAAGAAAGGGAAAAGAGGAAGGGAAAAAATGGAAAAAGGGAAAAGAGGAAGGGAAAATGGAAAAAGGGAAAAGAGGAAGGGAAAATGGGGAAAAAGAAAAGAGGAAGGGAAAATGGAGAAAGGGAAAAGAGGAAGAGAAAAATGGAGAAAGGGAAAAGAGGAAGGGAAAATGGAGAAAGGGAAAAGAGGAAGAGAAAAATGGAAAGAGGGAAAAGAGGAAGAGAAAAATGGAGAAAAGGAAAAGGGAAAAATAGAGGAAGGGAAAAGAGGAAGGGAAATGGAGAAAGGGAAAAGAGGAAGGGAAAATGGAGAAAGGGAAAAGAGGAAGGGAAAATGGAGAAAGGGAAAAGAGGAAGAGAAAAATGGAGAAAGGGAAAAGAGGAAGGGAAAATGGAGAAAAGGAAAAGAGGAAGGGAAAATGGAGGAAGGAAAAAGAGGAAGGGAGGGGAGGGGAGGGGAGGGAAGGGGACATAAATCATCTCACACCTAGCAGGCACTCCACGATTATCTGCGGAGCAACTGGTTAAATGATTTACTGTGAGTCCCAGTGGTTCTTTGCAGCAGTAAGCTTGCTCAGTTGTTGAAAGGTAGACCAGGGCTCCAGATTTATGGTTGCCTGGTTGCCCCCAGTGATCATAAATCCTAGCCAGCTTCTAGGCTGTTCCAGGCAGATTGGCTAGTAGCTAAGTGGTTATAGTAAGACTACATTATGATAGTTCCCTTCTAAAAGTCAGGGTTCCAATTGAGAAATGGTAGGGTCCATGAGAACCACAGTTCTTCTCCATCTCTATGCCCAGGAGAGAAACATCTGGCTTCAGACACATGTTCTTCAGCCCAGACAGTGGCCAATGCTGAACAGCCTTGGGTGTCAGCTACACATCAAGAAATGGGGCAAAGGCCACTGGGACTGACCACTGTCCCTGATCTTGACTTGACAGTGCACCAGCACAAGGAGTTTCCTGTCCTCTGGCCCGCATAACTCTGGGGAAAATCTTATGCCAAAATCCACCATGAAAGGAAACATCCTCTCCGTTTGGGAGAATGAGAAAGTTCTGGAAATGAGAGTGGTGGGAATGGTTGTGCAACAATGTGAATATACTTAGTGCCACTGAATTGAACACTTACAAATGGTTAAGATGGTAAATGTTATGTTACGTATGAAAACAAAACATGAAGATGTGCATCTGTGTTCTCCCACAGCAAACTAGGCTCCCTGAAGACAAAGGATTGTGTTTCATTCACTTCTGAGCTCCCCTCTCAGTACGGTTCCCAACACGCATGCTCACACGAGACTGCATTCTGACGAGAGAAACTGAAGCTCCCTCCAAAATAAGATGCTTAGGCCTAAAACTATGGTTCAAACACTTTCTAGACTATTCAGGTTTTAGCAATAAGAGAAACCCACAGAACCACATGGATACTTAAACGTCCTCTTAGAATTGACCAAGAATGATGCACAATGTCACACAAGTTATATTATAGAAGGTTGTGAGAAAAAAATGCAAGGGAAATTGGAAACATATTCTAATCTTGCCCTCATTTATAGATTCATCCCAGATGGTGAGCCTTCAGGAGCAATTGTTCTGTTTAAGAGTGGGCTCAATCTCACTTTTTATTTGTGTATATGCTGTGTGGCCCATGCCTGTAATCCTAACTACTCAGTAAACTGAAAGCTGAGAACTAAGATTCAAAGCCAACACGGGCAAACAAATCCAAGAGACTAACCAGTAAAAAGCCAGAAGTGAATCTGTAGTTTAAGTGATAGATAGCCAGTCCTAAGTGAAAAAGCTAAGGAAGAGTGTTCTAGCCCTGAGTTCAAGCCCCAGTACTGGCCTAGATAAAACAATTAATCAATAAATAGTCATTCTAACCTGTAACACAAGTATGTTAAACAAGTAGACTTCTGTATTTTCACTGTCATGATAAAAAATAACAAGCAGTTCAAATAAACAAGACAGGTTCTTCACCAATATGACAAATTATAGGTACCTCTTACATTTTACAGCAGGTCAAGCAGACATTTTATCAAGTTAACAAAAGGCAAAATCACTTGTGCGAAAGGCAACATGAGGCAAGGCCAAAGTAAGCTAAATAATGTGTCAAATAGTGTCAACAAAAGCTATCTCATTATTTAAAGTAACATCTTTTAAAAATCCTATCAACAGTCAATTGTTGTGAGGTAAATAAGCAGAGTTCTTTCTTTAATTAATGGGAAAGAACATTTTACAATTGTCTTATCAACTGCAACAGAAAAAATTTTGTTCTTATCATCAAATCACATACATCACTTAAAATCCTCCTTGCAGTATCATTCTGCCCATATTTTCCAGATATAAAACAAACAGAGGCTTGCTATGTAATTCTTGGCTCAAATCCTTATAATCTCCAGAGTCTCAAAAGGATTTGGGATTCGTTGAGTAACCATTTCTTGGGATAACAGGGAAGAAGTCAGAAGGAAAGACAGATTTCAAGAAAAAGGAGATGAGGATATCTCTTAGGAATTCATTGACTTCTGAAGAATAACCAAGAGCCTGAAGGAGAAGGCTCAGAACAGTTTTACATGAGATGAATGGCAGGAAAAGGAAGTGGAGAGTCCTCAGTAATGGTTATCCACAATCAGAATGGCCTGCCCAAGTGAGTGAGCCAAGCAAAAAGTAGTATTCCTCCAGATGTGCACATCTGCCCCTGTCCTTTATCTGCTCCCCTCCCTCCTCTTCACCCATCATCTGCCATGTGCAAGTAGGTTCCATTATTCCACTTCCCATCTCTTGTCCTTCTTTCTCATCGTCATGTTCTTCTCCTTTCTCTTCCTAACCTCTTCCCTACTTAAAGAAATATTTTTGAGGGCTGGGAAGGTGGCTCAGTAGTAGAGCGCTTGCCTTGCATGCACGAGGCCCTGGGTTCGATTTCTCAGTACCACATAAGCAAAAAGAAAAAAGCCGGAAGTGGTGCTGCGGCTTAGGTGGCAGAGTGCTAGCCTTGAGCTGAAGAGCTGAGGGACAGCGCCCAGACCCAGAGTTCAGGCCCCACGACCGGACCCAAAAAAACAAACAAAGAAATATTTTTGAAAATGCAGATTGCCAATTCTAGAATGCAAATACACTTTCTTTGGTTTCTCTTTTGTTGTCTGGTTTCTCAGCAGAAAGGAAGGAAGGAAGGAAGGAGAAAGAAAGAAAGAAAGAAAGAAAGAAAGAAAGAAAGAAAGAAAGAAAGAAAGAAAGAAAAAGAAAGAAAGAAAGAAAGAAAGGGAGGGAGGAAGGAAGGAAGGAAGGAAGGAAGGAAGGAAGGAAGGAAGGAAGGAAAAGAAACCACTGACAAATCAAACCTGGTGCCAACACAATGGCAGACACAGTCTCACATTCTAAAACACTGTTTTTTCCTCTCCCTTTTTATCTCCCTTCATTTTTCCTTCTCCAAGACCTCCTTTTGGTTCCTGGGCCTATTCTCTGTAGATATTGATTCAATTAGCCTGTAGTGACTTATAAAATCTCTCCCAGTAATTCCCACAATTGGCCGCTCTTAGGAAATCACAAATTTGGTAAACTCTAATCTCCCTTTTCTCTGTGAGTCAAAACCCCGCCCACATCTGCCAGGAGCAGATTAAACAAGAGTTTAAGATGATGAAAACTGGAAAAAGAGAACCAATCCAGCGGAATATTCTAGGGTCAAGCGTCTCCCCTTAAAAGACCAACCACATGTACAACTGTGCATATACCGCCTTCTAGCATATTTGAGAATAAGAAATACTCTAGACTAGGGTGTTAGAGTCTAGAACTTTCAGAACTGTCAAGAACAGGACTGAGTCCACAAAATTGGCTGGGAAATTTAAAATGGATCAGTCTAAATGGTCATCAAGTCAAACGTTCAGCATGGAATTTCTATGCTTAGTGAGGGGCCTTAGAGGAACGTTCAGCAGTTCCATTCCAGGAAAACATTGCATGTGAGAACTGTAGATTTAGAAACAAGCAAAACCCAGGTGCGCATCCTCCACAAGGCTTCCCCTAGAAAGCCTCAAGCCCCCTGTACCAGGCCATTTCTGTGTATTTGGCCAGCCATATCTGAACCCTTGCCCTCCTCTTCTGCATCTCCAGCTCCAGCTCAGAGCAAGCCACCCTGGTGGTTTTAGCATTTCCTTCTTGAAGTCAACAGGGTAAGGTCTTTCTTTTCAACATCTGGCCTTTACATTCTGTGCCAATCGCTGTAGGTAACATGTACTTGACCAAGCAGACTTCCCTCTTTACTGCTGAGATGCTAAAAGGAGCAAACATCTACCCCCAACAATTCCAATAAACACACCAAAGACTGTGACAATGATTCTGAAGCACTTGTCTTGGGGGTTCCCAGGGGCACAGCACAGCTTGTTTATTTTCTGTATCTCTCCCAATCATGCTCACTATTCTTTGCACATGGCAAATCATAAATAAACATTGGATAGATACATTCAAGTGAGTCCCTGCAATACAGCAGGCATGTGAGATGAGGACAGAGAGGCTGGCTGATCAAACAAGAAAGATACTGGCTCCCTGAAAACAGCTTTGGTGTAGTCCAACAATGGGGAACTGAAGCTTACACAGCTTCAGTGGCCATGGCCACCGTGAGTGCCCTCCTCCCCGGCGCCCGCGCGCTGGTGGTTCCTCTCCGGCTTCCCTGCGCTGCAACCCTTCGCCTGCGGGCCAGCTCTGAGTACATCATTACAGAAAAAAGGGAGAGAAATAGTGTGGGACTCATCCGGTGAACCGCCCCTAGGCGCTCATCGACGGGCTCAACCAGGCCCCGGAGGCCTGTGAGGAGGATCCAGACTTGGGCGCACCATTGCGCTCACTGGCGGGGATAAGGCATTTGCTGCTGGAGCGGATATCAAGGAAATGCAGAATCAGCCATTCCAGTTCTGTTACTCCAGTAAGTTCCGGAGCCACTGGGACCACCTCACCCGTGGGAAGAAGCCGGTCATCGCGGCTGTCAATGGTTTTGCTCTTGGTGGAGGCTGTGAGTTTGCAGTGATGTGTGACATCATCTACCCTGGTGAGAAAGCCCAGTTTGGACAACCAGCAGTCCTGCTGGGAACCATCCCAGGTGCTGGAGGCACCCAGAGACTCACCCGTGCAGTTGGAAAGTCCCTGGCAATGGAGATGGTCCTGACTGGTTATCAGATCTCAGCCCAGGATGCAAAGCAAGCAGGTTGGTAAGCCAGGTTTTTCCTGTTGAAACACTAGTTGAAGAGGCCATCCAGTGTGCAGAAAAAATTGCCAGCAATGCCAAAATTAAATCAGCTATAGCCAAAGAATCTGTGAATGCAGCTTTTGAAATGGCGCTAACAGAGGGAAACAAGTTGGAGAAGAAACTCTTCTATTCAACCTTTGCTTCTGATGATGGGCAAGAAGGCATGGCTGCATTTGTGGAGAAGAGGAAGGCCAACTTCAGAGACCACTGAGAACCAGAAAGTGCAGCCTGCCTATTTAGAAGCAAACAAATCATCCCCCTAAAGGGCAGTGTGGCCACCTGTAGCCTCCCAGCAATGGTGTAGGGCTTTGGCCTCTGCTCAAGCCCTTGTGTAGCCGGCTGCTTTGATGCCCAAGGGAAGATTGATCATGTTGGGTCTGATCAGAATATTTTCTTGCAAATCAAATCCGCTGAGGAGCCTTGAAGGTGTTTTCACAAGGGACTGGTGTTTGCTACCACGGTCTCTGTGGGCACTGCTGACTGCTCAGGGGAGGGCCCCTGTCCACTGATTTTGAACAGGATTATCGTGACTGCTTCAAAAAACAAAAAGAATATACAATCCTCTCTTAAGTAATTTTGTTTTGGACAAAACCAAAGGGACACCAAAAACCAATGGCTCAGGTCTGTCATCCCAGCAACTTGAGGGGTAAGATCAGGAGGATCATAGTTGCAGGCCAATCTAGGCCAAAAAAAAAGTCAAGAGTCTATCTCAACAGAGAAAACCTGGAAGTGGTGGCATACTGTATCATCTCAGCTACATCAAAGGCATAAATGGGAGGAACACAGCTCAGGCCTAACACTGTTCTTGTCTTAGAATAAGTGATTGACAACGAGAGCTACTCAGGCCAAGGAAGTGAACGGTAGATGAGCTGGAGGAAAATAAAATGAGTCTTGATTCAAATTCTGGCTGACATTTTGTTCAGAGCTCTTTATGTTTCATTCAGCAGTTCTTCGGAGGGTTTCTGGCCTCTGGCCAGAAAACTGCCCAATAAGGACTGATTTGCACCTGTGAGGATCGGTAAAACCTTAGAGACTATCACATTCATTGATTAACAATAAAAGGCGTATTCTTGAACCATAATTCAGTGGCAGAGAGTCTATATGTTTGCTTTCTGTAAGACACGTAGGAAGCACAAACTGTCACACGGCACTATTGTAGAATTTGTCACAAAGCACAAAATTGAATCAGACAGTCCATCATTTTCAAAATGATAACTCAAAATTACCAACACCTCTGTAACAAGTAGTATGCCATTGTGTTTTACAATCAGGATGTTTACTACTTCTTACACTAACTCTAGTCAGAGGTACTACAGTTACAGATACAGCTAGATAGGTAACAGGATTTACCCTGGGCCAGGCAGCTGTTGGGGGAAGGGCAACCCAAATCACTTTCTTTCTTTTTCTTTTTTCTTTTTTTTACTTAAAAGATCTGTTTCTTTGCATGCTGAAAGTGGGCATCTCTGGTATCCAGAGGGTATGAGAAAGGTTCTTCTTTTTATCCAAGTCTAACATCTGTCTGGGTGGGCAAATATTTGCTAGGGTGGGACTCAAATTCCAGGAGGTGATTTCACCTGAATTGACTGTTGCTATGCTCCCTTGTCCTCAGGAAACCCAGATAAAAATGGGAGTCTAAGGGTGGAGCCTGGGGTGGGTGTTTGGGTGGAGGAAGGCAGAGGCAGAGCTGACATCTGAGATCGAAGGCCAGGCCCTGCCCCAGGATGGAACAGTGATGCTTAAGGGCCAGAGCCAGGCTGACCTGATAGAGGGATGGGAGACCGTGCCCCCAGGAATCAGCAAGTAAGAAAGGGCCTTGACTGAGCCTGTGCCATCATCCAGGTGTTGTGACATACAGAACCAGGGCCAGGGCTTGGGCGATGATGCTTCAGGCGGCCCTGGCAAGGGCTGGCAGCCCTGAGAGACCTGCAGAAGCTGTGTCCCAAATCACTTTTTGTTTTAAACCTGTAAACAGGAGTCAAAGCCAAGGAAAACAGGGAAGGTTAAGCAGTGCCTATCCTACTTTGATCTTACACATTCCCAGAGGTGTTCCGTGTGGGAGCATGGGTCCAGGAAGCCACAATCCAAAACAGATCCGACTCACTCAAAACACCAGAAGGCAGGGATGGCTGGCTACTAGCTGCTATCTAACTTCACCCAGATGTGTTCTTGGTTATAAGCCTTCTTCTAGTGTCAGAAGAAAGGTTTCAAAAGTTCCAAATAGGGGAAGCCATAGAATATCAGTCTGAAAAATGTCCCTATTGAGAGAAAAGCTGAAAAATCACAAGTGAACTAAGCAGCTTAGCCAGAAATCTCTCAAAGGTGGAACACAGGTAGATGACATATTTAACAGAAGGCTGAAGCACTTCCCCAGTCCTACACACCAGGAGTACAGAGCATTTTCTAAACTTAATCCAGACCACCATGACTTCCTCATCCAATCAAGAGACCAGAGGCTCCCTCAAATCTAGTAACAGGCCATAAAAATGGGGCCAGAGAGCTGAAGGCATGGTTTAAATGGTAGAGCACCTGCCTAGCAAGTACAAGGCCTTGAGTTCAAAGTGCAAAACCATTCAAAACAGACATGAATTTCAAAAAATGAAGATGTTTAAAAAAATAAAAAGCATGAGACCAGAATGTAAATTGGTTTAATCACAGAACACTGAAACCTGTTTGACTGGGTAATGATTTCCCTCTGAGGTGGCACTATGTCAACAGAAAGAAATAATGAAGAGTTGCACAGGGTGGGATGGGTAGGGTCAGGTTTTACACACATCATTTGAGAAAAAAGGGATTATACAGACCCTCAAGGAAGGACTTTAAATGATGTGAAGGGGAAAAAAATGACAAAAAAGAGAAATCCAGTATACAAAGGTTACATAAAATATCCCACATGTTGGCCCGGCACTGGTGACTCATGCCTGTAATCCTAGCTACTCAGGAGGCTGCGGATCATGCTTCAAAGCCAGCCCTGGCAGTAAAGTTTGTGAGACTCATGGCCAGTAAACCATCAGAAAACCCAAAGTGGAGCTCAAATGGTACAGCACTCACCTTGAGCTGAAGAGCTCAGGGACAGCACCCATGCCCAGAGTTCAAGCTCTATGATCAAAAAAAAAAAAAAAAAAAGGAAAAGAAAAGAAAAGAAATCCCATAAATTGGAAAGTCCCTCTGTTCTCTTCCCTATCAAATAACCAGGTTTTCCTTGTTTCCTGAATGGACCTGCAATCCAGCATGGTGGAACTTCAGCACAATCACGTGCTGCACTGTCACCTGGTGAATCTCCCTGTCCTGCAGCCCAGGCCTGGCCAGGCCCTGGGGCCTCCTTCCAGTCTCCTGTGATACCTCCTGACCCTGTCCTTACTTCCAGAACTGCTCTTTAAAGCCTGTTCTCTCCAAAGCTCAGAATCTTTTTAAAATGCGAATCCACCTGCAACCACTTAGAAACAAAATTTACGGTTTTAGAATGTGTACTATAAACATTTGTCCAACCACTTAATTAAGCCACTATCAAAAGAAGATTCAAGTCAATACATTATCTCACACACAAGCCAACAAAACCAGAAGTAGATTAATCTGTTCTAAATTAGAAGCCCTCAGTACATAAACACAAAATTAGACTTTGACAACAAATTGGAGTCATCACCTAATGAAATAAGAGACCCTAATAATAAGCACGTCTTTCTCATGAATGATGAAAGTTATGTTAGAATATAACGTTCCACTTTGGGGTGTGGGTTTTTTGTTGAACTTCGTGTGAGTAAATCACACTTAAAAGGATCAGCTTTAAAGGAAATGTCATTCAGTGTAAAATATAATTTTAGCTGAGTGCCAATGGCTCACATCTGTAATCCTAGCAACTCAGGAAGCTAGGATCTGAGGATGATGGTTTGAAGCCAGACTTGTATTACGCACATACACACACACACACACACACACACACACACACACAATTTTGGGATTCACATGCATATTGAAGAAAGTAGTTGTAGAAATATAAATCATACCAGCAAAGCATGCAAAAGTCAAGAACAATAAATCACTATGACTTATAAAAGAAATTCAGTGCTAGGCTCTGGTAGCTCATGTCTGTAACCCTTCTACTCAGGAGGCTGAGGTCTGAGGATTGTGGTTCAAAGCCAGCCCAGGCAAGTAACTCCATGAGACTCTCATCTCCAATTAATCACAGAAAAAAAAAAAAAAACCCTGCTTTCACTATATTTGATGTCAGTATAACTTGAGGAGGAGATGGGGAAAAACCAGTTGTTTAAAGATACAGGTGGACCTGTTGCAACAATGAGAAGTACAAGTTGTCATGTCCAAAACGAGCTTTACAACGTTGGTTGGGGGGGGGGGGGAAGGGGGGGAAGGAGAAAGATTGGGATTGGGGAGGAGGGGGGAGGCCGGGAAGGGATGTGAAGGGTAAACAAAAGGAGGAGGCTGCAATGCTTGGTAAGAAATGTACGCATTATCCTGCCCATGTAATTGTAACCCCTCTGTACAGTATCTTCATAAATAAAATAAAATATAAAAAAAAAAACAGAAGTAGTGCTACGGCTCAAATGGTAGAGTGCTGGCCTTGAGCAAAAGGAGCCCAGGAACAGAATTCAAGCCCTCAGACTGGCAAAAATTAATTAATTAATTAATTAAAATAAATTCAGCAGGGAGCTGATGGCTCAACCTGTAATCCTAACTACTCAAGAGGGTGAGATCTAAGGATAATGGCTCAAAGCCAGCCCAGTGCAGGAAAGTCTATGAGAATCTTATCTCCAATTAACCACCAGAAAACTAGAAGTGGCACTGTGGCTCAAAGTGGTAGAGCTTTTGAGGAAAAGAGCTCAGAGATAGCATCCAGGCGAAAGAAAGAAAGAAAGAAAGAAAGAAAGAAAGAAAGAAAGAAAGAAAGAAAGAAAGAAAGAAAGAAAGAAAGAAAAGAAAGAGAGAGAGAGAGAGAGAGGGAGGGAGGGAGGGAGGGAGGGAGGGAAAGAGAGGAAGGGAGAGAGGAAGGGAGAGGGAGGGAGAGGGATGGAGAGGGACGGAGAGGGAGGGAGGGAAGGAGGGAGGGAGGGAAAAAGCAAGCAAGCCACACTAACCACCTCTTCTACATCAATGTCTTCTCCTGAACTTACAATTCTGACTCCCTCACTTGACCACAGGTCTCATGGTCTGCACTACCACACACATGCTACATAGGCTGCACGCAGCAGGTGCACTGGGCCATGTGACTCCACCTGAACATGGTGTACAGGACAGTCTATATATTAACATCTGGGGCCATCTTTGTTAAAGAAGGAACTGACACTTGACCTGCCTGGTTTAGCTCACCAGGCTTTCATAACTAACTAATCCTTCAACAGTTAAAAGAATCCGTGCCGGGTGCCGGTGGCTCACGCCTGTAATCCTAGCTACTCA